GCCGAGGTTGAGAAAGCCTGGTATGAAACATTCCATTCTCTGGGCAGGAAACAGTTCTCAGGGGGCTGAGCAGCTGCTCCTTCCACTTATGGAGGATTGAGGCCTGTGGCTGCCCACCCGGCCTCTGGCTCTCTGCTTGACATTATTTTGATCATTTCATTGCTCACCAGGACTCCTATCAAGTGGGAGGAAGAGACTGGGAAGTAGCAAGTCTGGGGGATCCCTCTGGATTTTATGTAGTAGTGCCAGTCTTCTTTCTTCCTCCACTGGTTTTAGGACATGGGCTTTGGAATAAGACCCAGCTGGCATCGAACCTCAGCACTGCCACTTAGTAACTGTGAGGCTCTGGGCAAGTCACTTACCTCTCTCTCCCTTTTCTTCCCTTCTCTGCAAAATGGAACAATAGTGTCTATGCCACTGGGTGTTGTAAGATGTAGAGAAGGAAGTAAGATCTTAGCATGTGGTCTGGTGCACAGTCTATAGTCAGTGCAAGGTTGCTATTACAAAAATAAATTTATCAAAAAGTTGACCAAATATTAGTCTCTAATCACTTAACTAAATTTATGTATTATTCATGGCCATAGTGACGGATTTTGAACTTTGCTTTATTTCTTCTCTTGTCTCTTAGCACATTTAAAGGCCTGAAACAAGAAATTTATTTATTTATTTATTTTCATGGTTCAATTGATTTAATAAATATAGATAACTGAAAGACATTTTATTACATAAAGTAGACTTTTTTTTTTTTTTCTGGAGGAGGCGTGAAACAAGAAATTTAAATTCAGGCCTTGTAGAGTTGTCGAGGTTTCCTTAGAATGAATTTGTTGCATACACAATGGTGAGCATGTATATTATGTAGAACTGGAAACTGAATGTTAGGGTCCCCGTCCCTTTCCTAAGGGAAGTAATAAAAAAAAAGGAAGAGCCATCTAAGAAGGAGCAGGTGGTAGAAGGGTGGTGCAATTTTTAGAGCTATGAGGATGTTTAGACAATGTTTACACTTTGACTTTACTAATGAAGAAACTGAGGCCCTAAGGATTAATTGAGCTACCTTGTGACCAAGGGCCAGTTGACACTGGACCCTGGAGTAGAACCAGAGTATCGGGCAGCCCCATCAGCGCTCTCGCCATAGGCCATGCCCCTCCCACCCTCCTTGAAGAGTTTGGCTGCACGCACTGGTATACAATGAGCCGTCATCGTCCTCGTCTTCTTCGTCCTCCTCCTCTTCTCTTGTGTATAAGCAAGAAGAGTCTTCGTAGTCTGATTCATGAGGCACATTTTCTTTATTGTCATCACATTCAATCACAACAGTTGGCACTTGTCTTATTTCCGGAAGGCCCAGAGGTCCTGCTTTTGTGACACCGTCACTCGAGTGCAAACCAGAGCTGTGGTAAGAAGTGGAACAGGGGACCCGCTGCTCAGAGCTGTGTAAAGAGAGGAGGAAAAACGATACTTATTCTAGCTAACATATTGCATAAATGCATTGGAACATTTTTAATACTCGATTGTTCAGTTCTAAGAGACAAAGAGTCTCTAGGGCAATTGAGGTCTCATTTCTCACTTTACAGCCAGACATTTTAGGACAGCAGAGTTTTTTGATGGTGGTACCAGGATGGAATAGGAAATGAGAATTTTAATTCCCTGTGGATGGATGGTGGTGATGCTAGTACAGCAATGTGAACATACTTAATGCCACTGAACTGTATACTTCAAAATGGTTAAAATGGCAAATCATTTTTTATCTTGTGTTTTTACCAAAGTTAAAAAAAAAATAAAAACACAAAATTATAAAAAACAAATTTTCACTCCACAAATATTCCTGGTGAAGATCCATATCTCCAAGTGCCAAAGGGAAGTTCACTTGCCATTCACACATCTCATGGGAGGAGTAAAAGGATAATTTGATGGTGAAGCTAGAGATCCAGGAAAGAAACTGATAATGCATGGGGCTCTAGCTTTCAAAGCTATATACAGCGTGACTGACAGGGATTGAGTGGTACAGACTGTTTGAAATGTCATGGATGGAGAGGTAGGGAAAGAGAAGAGGTGGGATCATAAGGCTGGAGACCCATACGTGAACATCAGTATGGACATCTTCAAGAATGACAGTGAAAGTTCTCTCCCAAGGATGGTACCAGACCCTCAGCAATCACAGATAATGATAGCCTGGTATCTTGTAGGTCAATTTTTCAGGAAGCAAGGATGATGATATTCTTGGTTTTGCCTTTTAAGTTGAGCCAACTCAGGTAGAATATATTTTTTAATTAAAAATGATTTTCTCCATAAATAAAAGCCATATAAGTTCATTTTAGGAAAATTAGGAAATGCAGGACATCAAAAATAAAGAAAATAAAAATTATTTTATTAATAGAGTCTATCCTAGGCTCCAAGATCAATTTGGAATCCTTTTTTATGACAGGCTTTGAATGAAGTCCAGCAAGAATAATGGGCCAGAAACACATAGTTAAATTTTTATAATTCTTTTTCAGATTAACTGGAAGTGGAATTTATCTTTCATTTAAGGAATTTCTAAACATAGCAAACTCAATGCATTTACCATCCAAAGGTATTTGAGATTCATAAAATAATAGCGTGTGAGGTTATACTATATATCAATAAATTTTACATTAGAATATTTATCCAAAAGAAAACTTACTCATAACATATGAATGCATGATAGTGTCCTCTGAAACTTTCAATTATGATTTAAATTATTGCTATTCTAATTTAAATTAATTTCCTTCCTTCCATTGTTTTCAAAGGGTTGTTTTGCTCTTTGTATTTTTCACATAACTCTTCAGTAACACAACTGGGAAATCTAGTTAACACATTATGAGCTATGATTTTCAAGGCAATGAATTCAACCAACTTAAAAAAAACCTCTTCAACTATGGAGTAAGATTAAATCAGTATTTACAAAAATATAGCATCTTATTAGACATTAGCAGTTTTAGGGGCCCATTTCCCATTGAGTTTAATACAAATGGCAGTGAGAGCAGGAAGGGGGAGTGCATGGTCGTCTCTGGGGTGGCAAATACAATAGTCAACTGAAAGGTGACTGACTGGGGAGTTACTGCTCCACCTCGTAAGGCGGCCCTTCCACTGGGCAACCACGCGCACTGTGTTCCAATTCTGCCTGGATTTCTACATTGGATATTAAAGGAGGTAAGGATGGAAGAGGCAAAAATGTAATTCCATGGCTCTTGTTTTGCCCCACCCCTGCCTTCGCCTCTCCCTCATTTATAGATTCATTAACAATGGTTCCTACAAAGGCAAAGAGCTGGGACTATTAGGTGTGAGGAATGAAAAGTAGCCAATAGATATTCATGTCTGGTAGGAAAAATTTTTGGAGGGGAAAAAAAAGTTGGAAACTAGAAAGCTCCTTAAGGTAGAAGGCTCTAGATTAGCTCAAGAGGATGGTGAAAGGAGAAATATTATGCAAAGGAAGACAAAAAATACTTACAGGCAGTCTGTGATAAAGAGACTGGTTTCTCCTCCCTCAAAGACATGTGGGAAGCGTGAAACCTTGAGTAGAATGAGATTATAAGGCTGATCCCCCAGCTGCTTAGGCAGGTGCTAGATATCATGCTACCAGCCCTGTTAAAACAGGGACCAGCCATGGTGATCAGCAACTGCCTGTTGGGGCACTATAGACACAGCTGGAGACCCTGCCTGGCTAATCAGGTTATCGTCCTGAACTATGTGAATCTAGAAAGCGATAGGATGTCTAATTTCCCAAAAGGATGAAGGTGTTTTCAAGGAAGCTAGGTGAATCCACCAAAAGGGGTTTAAAATATTCTATTAATAAGTATCCACTGACTGCCAACTTTGTCAGGAAAGGTGATGAGAGGAAGAAATTCAAACATTCATATGATCCCATCCATCTGGGAACTCTGGAGAAGCACAGGAGAGCAAGAAAAGACAAATGAGAGTGAAGAGTTAGCTGAGGAGACTGGGCAAGTTATTATGGGACCTCAGTTTGAGGAATCAAGATATAAATTCGAGTCCAAGTTTTACCACTTACATCTTTTGACATCTGTTAACTTATTTAACCTCTCTGAGCCTCAGCTTACTAGACTGCACATTTGGGTAAACCACACCTTTTTGTAAGGCTGGTGCATGTGACGTGTCCCACTGGCCATGACCTAAAGTGAGACCCTCACTTGTTATTTATAGAACTGCCCTTCCAAGTGGTTTCAAAACACTCAGTTGTCAGAGCAACTTTCTGAAACTCAGGTCTAGTTGTCTCACCCATTAGAACTCTGAATGCCTTCCCCATCTGCAAAACCAGTGCTCCAGCAGTGACACAAATGGAAATCCAATTAACATATCACGAGCTACACTATTCCAAGCAAAGAACTAAATCAATTTAAATGTAGCACCTTATTACATTTGGCCTCCACCCCAATGGTTGTGGGCAGGAAGGGGAACACCCAGCTGCACATCAGTCTCAGTAACGCTGGTTTTATATAGTGGAGTTGTCACTTAAAAGACCTGCTCTACATAAAAGGTCTCACAGCTAAAGAAATGTGAAAACCATTAGCCTAGATGCAGTCATTTAAACACAGCATGACAGGCAATGATTTGCGCAATCTGACCCATATTATGAACCCAGCCTCTGTCCCCATATAACTCACCCCTTGGTCATTCATTGCATGCGCTTGGCCTGGAATGGGCTCCCATTCCATCTTCATCTTGTTAGTTTCTATTTATCTTTTAATAATTGTCTCAGGGAACACGTTGCCTATGGGCTTGGGAGAGTCCACAATTGTGAAAACTGTGAACATCTGTTTGCTTACTATTTTTCCTTCCCCAGCCAAGCTGTAAGTTCCCTGAGAGGCAGGCACCATGTCTACTTCATGTGCGTAGCAGGTACCTAGAACCCTGTCTGACACTAAATGAACACTCAGTAATTGTTTCTTGTTTTTGCTGAATGAAAGAAATATGGCTGGAATCACCGATACTTAGGTGCATTTGTAAGTGGTTGACAAATATCATTCAAAGGGTATTAAGAGATCTTTTCAAAAAAATTTTTCAAGGAGCCCATCTGGTGGTATATTGCAGGGCTGTGGGTGCCCCTGACTTGGATGGCACTTTTATCAATGGCTTAACAACAGAAAGGACATCCTCATCAAATAGGTAGAAGAACTGAGGTAGACGAGTGAACAAAGCAAACATATACTGAATATGCTGTCCACTGTTCTAGAAACGTTCACATCCAGTATCTCATTCCATCTTTACAGCAACTCTGCAGGAGTGGTGTCATTATCCTCATTTTATTCAGCAGGAAATAGAGGTTCCGAGAGGATAATAGATAGGCCCATGAGGATAAAGGTAGCAAAGGAAGAAGGGAATTTAAATCCACTCTGTTTCAATATGCTATAACCAAAAATTGAAATGTGCTACCTGTAAGGTTGTGCACTTTGATTAAACACATGCAAGGTGGAGAGATTATGCCTTGTCAACAACATGTAAAAAATGGGCATTATTACTTTATAAAGATTTTAAATCTTACTAACCAGGGTAAGTAATAGTGTTCTACCTTGCTATGGTCAGGCCATACCTGGGATACTGAGTTTGAAGGACTCAGCTTAGACACTGGATGATAACGGTCAAGATGGTTAGAGGACTCATATGTTTATCTACTGTCATGGCGGCTTTTGCCCCAAAATGCCAAAGTTCAGTACTTGCAAGAAAGCCTCAAATATTTACTATCTGGTTCTTTACAGAAAAGGTTTTCTGATTCCTGGTCTAAACCAGTATTTCCTAAACCTCAATTATACCCATACTCCTTAATTATATTTTTGTTTGTGCCATATTTGAAGTGCATTTATACTATTATTTACTTTGTATTTTTAAATCAACACTTAAAAAAAACTTAAATACTTATTTAGCCTCATCTTAAGCAACAGTTTCTTTGTAATCATAGGTTTCATATGCTAATTAAAATAAGTATGTGACTATTAAAACTTTTATAAAAGGCTGTCCTAAACTTGCTTCATGTGTCACCAATGAAATACATATCCCATTTTGGCAAAATGATGGCCTAAACCAGATTTTCTCAATGGCAGCATGATTGACATTTTGGGCTAGACAATTCTTTGTGGGGGAGGGCCGTCCTGTACATTTGTGGATGTTTGGCAGCACCTCTGTTTTCTACCCACTAGATGCTAGTGGCATCTCCTCTCCTCTAGTTGTGACAATGCAAAATATCACCAGACATGGCCAAATGTTTTCCAGGGGTCAAAATTGCCCATTTGGGAACTACAGGCCTAGAGTATCCACAATGGCTTTGCCATGTGCTGCATTCTCAGAATTGTACCATGTGAGACTTCTAAAACAACTGTGGTATTATCAGGAATTTGCAGGATTCACTGAATGATGTACTGTCTAGATCCTATTCTCCCAAGTTTCCGACTTGCTG